AGGGAGCAGCGGCTCTGTCACGGTCCATGCAGACTCCACCGTGCAGGTGCTGGCGGAGGAGGCGGTGACGATGGACATGCTGGATCTGGCTGTGAGTACCCCAGCCCCCGGGGGCCGGGCTGCGCCCTGCCTCCCTCAGGCAGGCCCTGGCAGCCGGGCTCCCTCCCAGAGCGGGATTTGCTCCCCGCTTCTCTCAGGTGGGGTCGTTGTCTCAGGAGCTTCCTGTGGCTGCGGAAAGCATGCCCAGACAGGGGCTGTGCCTTCACCCCAGCTTCCCCTTCTCCCACTGATTGGGATCAAAGGCTCGGAGCTCCTCCTCAGTGAACTCTCCACAGGCTGTGGGGAGAGGAAGCCAGGCGGTCATTAACCCTTCTCCAGGCCACTTCCCTCCCCTCAGACAGATCTTGCCCCTTCCCACCCCTCTTAGTCTCGGGAACAGCTTTTCCCCAGCGGGGCCTGTTGATAAGGCGTGTGCTGCCAACGCAGCCCTGTAAGCGGGTCTGTGGGGCCCGGTGCACAGGACCAAGGACTGCAGTGAAGGGAGGGGTGGGACAGGAGTGGCTCAAGGGCTGTAGGGCAGTGGTCTCTCGATGATGCATTCCTTGTGCTCTCGTGTTCAGACTGCAAAATCAAACCTGGAGAAGGCTGTTTCAGAGATGGCTGCAGCATCCGATGAAGCAGCTAAAGCAGAAGCTCAGATTAAAGTAGAAGCTAATGAAGCCCTTGTGAAAGCCCTGGAGTAATTAAGGTAAATGTCACCTATATCCTGATGGAGATTTCCAGACCTGCTCTGGAGATGAGTCCCTGCTGCCCACAGGGAGCGTCCTCTCTCCTCTCACAGCAGCCGGTGCTGCTGGGCTGCCCGGGGGTGGACAAGGGTTTGTGCCTGGGTTTCAGGGAGCGGTGACACAAGAGCTGTCCCTTCCTGTGGTCGGGCGTCAGCTCTAGGGGGGTGGTGGGGGGCCCCTGCCCAGAGCCAACCCGGAGCCGCTAGATGGCAGCAGGGCCCGGTGCCGTGCCTACGCCGCCGCACGGTGCCGCAGGGTTCAGCCCAACGCCGGAAAAAAAAAGGGCCCCGGAGGGAGAGCGATTTGGCCTATCCTCCCTGTACACTCCCTTCCACTAAAAAGAAACAGCTTCTGGCGCAGGGGAGGCAAGGCCGGGCTGGTTACCTCGTGGCCCCTTTTCCCTCTACCCTACTAAGACTGTGCCTCATCCCTCTTCTTCCCACGTGCTGGCAGTTGGGAGAGACACTCTGCGGCAGCGAGCGTGCCCTGCCTGGCAGGTGAGTCACCAAAAGCCTCTGACGGCCCCTCCCCGGAGCAGGTACAGCAGGGCAGCAGCTCCCCGGCTATCTCCCCGCTCCCTGGCC